TCCTACCTTCCGTAGTGCTGGAGATTCCCCGGGATCTCAGCCCTCACTGGCGAGTCCCTCCCCGCCAACTGTCAAGAGATGCAGGTGAGAAAGGCCCCGTTAGGATCTTCGCTCTGCGTGCACACCTGTCTGTTAGTTTCAGCCCCCTGGGTGCTAAGAAGGCCCTGAGGAACCGATCGATTTTCATGAAAATCCCCTCCTGCCATCACTTCACTGGACTTCAAATCCCACACATTTAGTTCCTCTTACGCCAGGGACGGAAATCTCCACCCAGCCACCCCCACCCCCTGTGGCACATAGGCAATGTGCTGAGCGTCATACCTTACACCACCACTAGGGGAGGACACGCTTTCTCCAGAGGCGGGCTCTGGGCTGGCACTCACAGGAACCATGCCCAGGCCGGCCTGAGGTCAAAGTCCCTGCCTTTAGCCACTACATCATGCCTCCTTGCTGGACCACAGGCCCCAGCCAGGACAGGATAGACCTGCCCTGCCATCTGTGCCACCTCAGCTGCTCGCTCATGTAGGAGACGAAAAAATCCAGATCAAAGTGTTCTGCCACCTAAACATGGCTATTCCCCAAATCATCAATGCTCTTCGAGTTGCGGGTGATGCTGCCTGGGGGTGGGGGGCGGTGTGGACTGGAATGGTCCAGGGGGGCTGCAAAGGCAGTTGCCGACACTGGATCCTGGGTGACAGGCTATAGGACAAAGGTTTTCATTACAAGGGGATGCTCAGTAGTTATTGTGGGGTTTTTCGCCCCCTGAAAAGAGAACCAAAGGCCAGGAGAGTTTGGGAACCTGTCATGCATAAAGCCAGTCAGAAGCAGGCACCCCGACGCCCAGGCACGTTATCCGTGTGGAAAGCATCCCCTTGGTTCTTGCTGCTTCCCTCTTGTGTGGCTCCCTCGTACGTGTGTGCCCAACCCTGGGCAATGAACAGAGCTTCCTATGGGGCTGTGTGTGCACAGCCTCACTTTAAAAGCCCCCAGGGGAGCTTTCTGGGCGACTGCCCTGGAAACACGACTGAGGGTGGTGGTGGTAAGGAGCATCAGAGAGACCCGGGGACGAGGTCCCGGCCACTTAGATGCCCTCAGCCCAAGCCCCATCTCAGAGGGGGTACAAAAGGCCCCAGAGGTGAGGACACTGCTTTAGCATCTGGAGTGCCAGGGCCACGCAGCTCAGCCCAGGAGACACACTGGCCACGGCCTTCCAACTGCCGGAGAGCAGAAAAGGGGGGAAGGTGAGGGGTTGGGTGTGGGAGGTGGGGTAGGCGGGGATTCTATGCTGGAGGGAAGGGCTGGGATCAACCGCCCTCACGTGTACCTGTGGAGGCGGCCACAGAAGCAGGTGGTCTGTGCACTTCCTCAACGGTAAGGACATAGTCAAAACAAAACTAACCTGCCCAGAAAGGCCTGGTGCCACGCGCCGGGCCTCACTTTCCACTTCTGCCCCAAGTTTCTGCTCGCTTTCATGCGGGCCCTTAGAGAGCAAGGAGCCTGCTGGCAGGGGGGCTGAGTGCTTGTGGAAGGCGGTGGGAGAAATATGTGGCAGTCTGCTTCACGAAAGGTGATGGCCTGGGGCTCCCCGTGGGGCAGTTCTTCTGTCCCCAGAGCCCCTCCAAGTTTCCATCACAACCTGAATGGCAGTGGTTCAGGTTCAAGCTCTTTGCAGGGAGAGCCTAAAGGCACACGACTGATGCTTAGTGGGTCCTTTTCGAAGTTCCCAGAAGACCATTGGAGGGAACCCTGTGGGACCGTTGAACGCCGTCGGCGGAAGCCTGGGGAATCGGCAGCAGTGTGAACCCACAGGGCAGGCCCGGGAGTCAGCAAGAACAGGAGCTGTGCTTTTAGGCACCGAGCCTGGATTCAGCAGATGAACGAGCCTCCGTTTGCCTTAACGGTCTGGATTGTCAAAGAGCAGAGAACCAGCCTTTCCCGACTTGGCAGCCCCCTCTGACCTGAAACACCCCTCAGCGTGGGGCTGGCAAGCAAGGGCTGGAGAAGGAAAGCCCCATGTGTGGCTCTGCGCTGGGCTGCTGATGGCAAGGTCAACCGTTACTGTGTGTGGGAGGAGCCCTAGTGGAGTAGTGGTTAAGTACTGGGCTGCTAACCACAAGGTCAGAAGTTCGAAACTACCGGTGGCTCCATGGGAGAAAGACTAGGCTTTCCCCTCCTGTGAAGAGTTGGTCTCGGAGACCCGCAGGGCAGTTCTACTGTATCCTACAGGGTCGCTGTGAGGCGGCATCGGCTCGGTGGCAGTTTGATTTTGTTGTAGCCAATAGGCCATTCCATCACTGCCCTCCCGCCACCTGGGGTGGCTGCTGAAAAGCCCATCCCGACACCTGGCGGCCCAGTGGGGCCCAGCAGACTCCCCTGCGAGGTTGCCAGAGTGAAAGCTTTGCAGGCAAGTATCACCGGGTCTCGCTTGGTGTTCAGGAACCGCCAGTCTCTCAGTTAGCAGCCGAGCGCTTTCCTTAAACACTACATTCCTGACGTAAAACATCAGTCAGCACTGGTGTCCCAGCCTTTCTCTACTTAGTACGCCGATGTACGCACCCCCCTACATGCACTACACGTACACACACTTATGAAATACACAGGTGCTTATTTTACTCCCCAGTCATACCTCAGGTTCAATGTGCCTGGGAAAGAGAGAAGTGGTGAGGTATTTGTATAAGATTCTCATGTCGTCTTGTTCCAATCCGCTCCTGAAACATCAGAAAAGCACTGTTAGACCCCTGGGAATGGCCGCTGCTCCCATAGGGATCTGCCACCTTGGGGACCCACAGGGCAGTTCTATTCAGTCCTCCAGGCCACCGTGAACAGAGCCGACTCAGCAGTGGGGCTTTTTGCAGACTCTGCTGAGCGGGAGGGGCTTTCGCTTTCTCCTCCAGCCCACAGCAGTGACGGCCCTGGAAATGGCAGGCAGGTGACTCAGCCTGCCCAGATGGGATGGGAAATGTCTTCGCTTGCTGCGATCGTCGGGAAAAGGTAGCAGAGGGAAACCAAACAAAGCTGGGGCTGTATGCGCCCCTTCTTTTAGGACACTAGTAGGGTGCCTGGTTAGACAGGAGACAGGCCTGTTTGGATTCTAGAGCTCCCACACACAGCAAAAACAGAACCACCTCAGAAACTCACCGCATTCCAGCCGATGCCGACTCACAGCACCCTATAGCACAGGGCAGAACTGCTCCTGTGGGTGTCCGAGACTGTAACTCTGCATGGGAGCAGAAAGCCTCATCCTTCTCCCAAGGAACAGCTGGTGGTTGCAAACTGCTGACCCTTGTGGTTAGCAGCCCACCGCCTAACCCAGTCCACCAACAGGACTCCTTCCAGAGACTGTGGGTTCAAGCTGACCTTGTGGTTAGCAGCCTAGCTCACAGCCTCCTAGGCCACCAGGGTCACAATGAGACCCGCCGGGCACTGGGGATCTTGGTGTTAATTTCAGGGCAGAGCATCAGAGACAGAGACAGGCTGTGGAGGCCATTCCCTCCTGGCCCCTGCTGTGAGTGCTCAGTCACGGGCGCTCTTACCGGGAACCAGCTCCGGGCCTGCAGGGCGAGGCTGTACACACTGACAGGCTGCGCAGCAACCACAGCTGCTGTCTCTGGGCTGCTGACCCTTGGGTGACACACCAAGCCCTCCATGGTGCTGCCAACACTGCCGCCCTCCAAAAGCCCAGCCACAGCCCCTCCTCTTGGAGTCTGCAGCCTGAAATGCGCCACTGGATATGTGGCGAGACCCTGGAGAGCCACACACAGGACAGCCGGTGCCTGCTGCTGATGTCTTCCTTCCTCTCACTGTCATCAGAAGCCCAATCTTTGAGAGCGGGAAGCCTCATCTCTCCCTCCTCTGAGCAGCTGGTGGTTGCGAACTGCTGACCTTGCAGTTAGTAGCTCAATGCATAACCCACTACACTGCCAGGGCTCTTGTTAACAGACCAGTGTAAACACACTGTTATCTGCACACTTCTCTTTACTGAAGGAGCCTCGGCGGCGTAGAGGTCATATATTGGGCTGCTCACTGCAAGGCCATTTCAAACCCACCAGCAGTCCCGAGAGAGAAAGATGAGGCTTTCTACTTTATCCCGAGTTAGTCTGGGAAACTACCCTGTCCTCCGTCGTGCGTCAGAATGCACTGGATGGCGGGGAGAGTTCTCGCTTTATTGCAGTGGTCTAGGATGGAACAGACACTGCCCCCAGGCCATCTGTCCTCTGACTGGGCCAGCAACGCTACAGTGGCGGGCGAGCCACGCAGTATGAGCTGGGCTGGGACGGACACACAGGACTTGAATGCAAGGGCTTCTTTGAGCAGAGCTGCTGCCAGGAGCAAAGCCTTCAGCGCCTGTGTCAGACCTCCCTCTCTGCCACAAGCTCAGTGGGAGGGAGCCACTCTCTCTGAGAACCACCCTGCTGCCTGAGGTGCCCCTGTGGTTTCCCTGGTCCATCTAAGGGGGTGGCAAGTGCTTAGTATCACAGTCAAACCTGGGGGTGCTCGACTCTTGGGCTGTCAGTGGCTGGTCACTCAGGAGTGGATCACCACTTCTTTCTGCCTCGACTCCCTCAGCCTGGAAGTTCTGCGAAAGCCTACCCACGCTGGGGGGCCCTGCTGGTAGGGAAGATACAGTGGCACAGCCACACACCAGCCACCACAGAGAGACAGACGTCAAGGCACGGGCAGGAAAGTGGTCCGCCCGCACCCTGCCTGTCAAAGGTGCGACACACTCTCAGCCCAGAGTAAGCCGGCCGGCCGAGTTTCTTCTCTCTGCTCCTTGAGTGTCAGCACATTCTCTAGAGCCCTTCTTGTTCTTACAACAAGACTAGGGCACAGTTTGGAAACGGGGGTGGGGACAATTCTCCAACTTAGACAATGCATTTGGCGTCCAGGAGATAACCTCCCCCCACCCCCTAAACTTTAGTTTTAAATGAACGGTATGACAGATTCTTGCTTTCCACACTTGGAGGGCAGGGGCAAATTAGCCACAACCATAAAGACACGATTTGTGGTCTTGCCTGCTGGCTTCTTTCACGGAGCCCACTTCCAACCCGGATCTGAATCAGAATCACCCTGGCTCTGGTTTCAGGACGGCGCCCACAAAGGCAGCCCCAACAGCTTCTGTCACCCCAAGACTTGCTTCTTCCGAGGCGTGCCCCGCAGGGCCACCTACCAGATGAGCTGATCGTTGTAGAGAAAGGCAGTGTACTTGACGATGCTCAGGCTCTCCTCCACGCGGTTAATGAAGGACTGGATTTTCAGGTAGGTCATTTTATCCAATGGGAAGAAGCTGATCCCACCGAAAATGTCCAGCAGGTCACAGGACTGCAGGTGCAGAGTTTGCAGGTACTGCAGGAGGAAGACGAGTGACACACACTCACTGACTGGCCGCCCAGGGCCGCACGCTGACCGCTGGAAAGAGCAAGACTGAGATGTTTATGGTCCAGCCATGCGCAGACAGGGACCAGAGAACGCCAATACCAGCAAGGCGAAGCGCCCGGGCTATTTGAATCCAAAAGCAGGGCCCAGCTCGAGTCTACACAAAGCACAAAGAAGACTGCTAGGGGGGCAGTGGGGGCAGGGGGCGGGGCAGCCTGTGCCTAAGGCGATTCCGGCTCAGAGCAACCCTGAAGGGCAGTCTGCAGAATGACCTTCTCACAGTGGCCAACGGCCACATCAGGCGGCAGCCACGCACGCCCAGGGCTCCTGCAGCACACACCCTCTGATGCCCAGAGCTTCCAGGGGAGGAAGCGCGCGCTCCCTTACTCCTCATTGCTCCGAAACCCAACAGAACAGAGCCGCGCCATGCTCACCAGCCTTCTCCGTCCAAGCCCCTCTAGCCTCTGTATCTGCCCACACGGGACCGACGGGTCTTCCCAGCAGTGTCTCTGCTGCCTTCCTCTCTGACTTGGCTGGGCCGTTCGAGAGGGCAGGGCGGGGCATGGGCAGTCCTCTGGGAGCCCTGCCTGCCTGCTGTCAGGGCGTTTCCTGCAGCCTTTCATCTCACAGGAGCTGGGGTCAGGGTCCTACCTCCGAGGAAGGGGAGGAGGGGCCCTGCGAGCAGCGTGCTCTGGGGAGCTCCTTGGACCAGGAGACTCCGTGGGAGAAAGCCTCCCGGATGGGGCCGGGCCCCTGAGTTTCGGGGGAGAAGGCATTTCTGTCACAGACGAAGAAGGGGTTTGGGAGGGAAAGTAGAGAATTATTCCTCCAAGATCAAGGGACTGTGACCTGAAGCAGGGAGCCCTGGTAGCGCAGGGGGTTGAACCTGCTGGCCAACACCCACACCCACACCCACACCCACACCAGGGTGGTGAGTGCTTCAGTTGGCCGGGCCCTTAAACAGGAGAAAGACGACCAGCCAGAGGGCTCCCCTAGTGCCCCAAGCCTTGGAAATCCGGTGGGGCGGCAGTTCTAGAGCTGTGGGTTGCTAGGAGACAAAATGGAGTCCATGACAGCGCCGGTCAAGAGCAACACAGACCCAACCCAATAACCCAACGTGCAGAGCAAGGACAGCAAGGCTTCGGAGGCACGCCACGCCACGCCACCGCCAGGCGCGTTCCACCCAGAGGTGGTGTCCACAGAAGACCAGGAGCTCTGGTGGGGGCGGGGGCTTACGAGCTGGGCTGACTGCAAGGTCAACAGCTGTTCTGCCAGAGAAAGAGGGCAGCTCCTGGACAGACTGACAGGCAGACACATGGGTGGGGAGGCGCTCCACCCTGCCCCACAGCCACCCGTGAGTCGGAGTGGGCTCAGTGGCACAGGGTTTGTGTTTGGGACACCATCTGTGTGAGGCGGGGAGGGGGGGGTGCCCAGTCCCTTTGGTAGTCTGGGTCTTTGTTGTAAGAGGAAGAAAGCCAGGCTCTCTCTGAGGATCTGCCTGGACATCCCTGAGGCGAGCCAGGCCCGGCAGTGCTTACCCGGTGGAAGAATTTCTCCAGTCTCTCTTTGAGGAGCTTGACCCCGCCATCCTCCATGGCTCTCAGAAACGTGCCATTGAAGAGCTGCCGGACAAAGACAGGCTGGTCAGGCCCCGAGCGCAGGACCCACACGCCCAGTGTGCACCACAAACCACAGAAGTCCAGGATCGGCTCTGGTTCCTTTGACTTCTGCAGGTCTCTATCTCCCACGTTTCCTTGATGTAGTGATTGTGTTTTGAAAGAGGGAAATGGGCTCCCCGCCTCCAAGTTCCAAACAGAAGTAAACACTCTCCTACTTTTCAGGGACGGCAGGGCAGGTCTGAGGGGCTGAAGAGGTGAGGTCATTTGCTCAGGGTCAACGACAGATGAGGGGGCGCAGGTAGGGAACGCAGCCCCTTTTTCCAAGGCCACAGCCGTCGCCTCTCTTTCCCCCCACAGGGCTCCCATACAGAGCTCGCCACGCTGCTGTCATCGTGTGCCTCTGCATCGGCCAGTCACTACGTGCACGATCAGCTGTCACCAGGCTGACCCTGGCTCTGTGTGACCCTGCGTGTGCCAGGGTAGAACTGGGCGACGCGGGGCTTTCAAGAGCTAATTTTCAGCAGCAGCCTGCCAGGCCTTTCTTCTGAGAGGCTCCTAGGTAGACTTGAACCCACCACCATGCAGTTAGCAGCCAAGGGGTTTACCCACCCGTTCCCCAACACTGAGGGAACTCTATAAAAAACAAGCCACTTAAAAAAAGTTAACGGTATGAACCCTCTCTCAGCCCGAGTCAATGCTGACTCACCGCTACCCCCTGTGGGTTTCCAAGACTGTAACTGTTTACAGGAGTAGAAAGTTTAGTCTTTCTCCTGCAGAGCTGCTGCTGGTTTTGAACTGCCGACCACATGGACCGCACTCCAACTTGAAACCACTAAGCCACCAGGGAGCCGGATGGAATAAAAGACCATTTACAATAAGTCCACTTTTTCTGCCCCTCACCTTCCCAGCACAAGGCCTTCTCTTTTCAGGTGACTTCAGCTCATTCAATCCTCTGCTTCCCTTTAAAATATAGGCTATTTACACACAAAATATACCGCCTTCGAGTCAACTGACTCACAGTGACCCTACAGGGCAGGGGAGACCTGCCCCCGAGTTTACAGGACTAAATCTGTAGGGGAGTAGAAAGCCTCCTTTTTCTACAGGGATTAACGTGCACGCCAATCTCAACTCTCGTTTCCAAAGCCCCAGGCCTCCCCTCCTCTGCCTCACGCAGAGACCCAGTCACTTGACAAGCATCAAGGACTAGCAGGCATCTTTACAAGACCCCGAGTGTGTGCGCTGCTGCTGGGAGTGGGGGTTGAGTTGGTCCTCTCTCTGCACGAGAAGGAAGCCCTGCCAAGGACCTGACCCGTCCTCCCTCCACTGCCTGCCACACGGGGGCCCCGGGCTGCAGCGACCAGTTGGTAAATACTCACAGCTGTCGGGCCAGTCCTGACTTGCAGTGGCCCTAGAGTAGGAAGCAGGGCTGCTCCTTAGGGTTTCCAAGACAGTGAATCCCTAGGGGAGCACCCAGCTTCCTCTTTATCCCTGGGAGCAGTTGGTGGGCTTGAACCACTGACCCTGCAGGTCAACGCCAAACCTACGGCTTCCCCAGGGCTCCTGTGCTTCGCTATTCATTATGCGCGCACTTCAGAAAGGCCGGACCACTCACCTTGTACATACTGTAGCACTGCTGTAGCACCGAGCTGTACACCTTGTCCTGCAAACGACACAAACAGCGCTGCTCTTAACCAGGGGAGGGAAGGGGCAGAGGCCTGCTGTGTGGCTGGGGCCTGCTCACTCCTGGCAGAGCCACTTCCTGCTTCTACACTTGGTCCAGCAAGAGTCCAGTGCTGAAGACCAAACCCAATGCTGTCGAGTTGTCTCTGACCCATAGTGACCCTGCAGGCCAGGGCAGGACTGCTCCAAGGGCCTTTGCTGGTGGGTTGGAACAGCTGGCCCTTTGACCAGCACCTAAGCACTTCAACCCCTTCATCAATAGGGCTCCTCTGTCTCCCCAAACAGACAAACAAAACACCAAAATTAAAAACCCACTGACCTCAACTCAATTGTGATGCACATCGACCCTACAGGACAGGGTAGAACTGCCTCATGGGCTTCTGAAACTAACTCTTCACAAGAGTAGAAGGCCCCATCTTCCTCCCAGGGAGCGGCTGGTGGTTTTGAACTGTGGCTCAGGCAGTTAGCAGCCCAACTGGTACCCCACTGTGCTACCACCAGAGCTCCCTTGGGGCCTGGGGCTACCATGCAAAATGAAGCAAACCGGCCAGCACACAGGCAAGCCCAGCTCACAGCACCCAAGAGGGTTTTGGAGGCTGGAGACTCGTCATGAGGGCATTGAAACGGGTAAAGCAGCCAGCCTCATTTTAAGAGGCTTTGAGCACAAGTGACCAGGAGAAGGGCATGGGGCACAGCGCCATTTTCCAACAACCACACAACACAGTCAAAATGCTGCCCCAAACGTTTTAACTTTAATTAAATCCCTCACCAGCTCAGGAGTGCATGTCATCCTGCCCTGAAACGATGGACTAAAGCAGTGGTTCTCGACCTTCCTCACGCCGCAACCCTTTCATACAGTTCCTCCTGTGGTGGTGACTTCCCCCACAACCATAAAATTATTTTCATGCTACTTCATCACTGTCACTTTGCTACTGTGATGAATCGAGCGACCCATGTGAAAGGGCCATTTAACTGACAAAGGGGTTGAGACCCACAGGCTGAGAACCGCTGAACCAAAGAGTAATGCATTACCAACAATTCCTCTTCTTGGTATTCAACAATTGGCTTCCCGTCTTTACTCTGCTTTTCAATGATAGGATTCCGAACAACCTGTAAAGTGGGACATGCTGAAATTACATTTCACTCTAGTTTAAAAGTTTGAGCTCACACTGCCATCGAGCTGATCCCGATGCATAGCAACCCTGAGACAGAGTAGAACTGTCCCTGTGGGTCTCAGAGGCTGTAAGTCTTTGTGGGAGTAGACAGCCTCATCTTTCTCCTGCAGAGCAGCTGGGGGTTTCAAACTGGTGACCTTGTAGCTTAGCAGCCCAAGGTGTAACCCACTATGTCCCAGGGCTCCTTGAAAAATGTGAACCGAGGTACAATTCTAGACATTTTAAGAACTGCCTTAAATACAACCCCCCCAGAAAAAAAGAGGAGCTGATACCAAGGGCTCAATAGAAAGTAAATGTCTAGAAAAGAATGATGGCAACAATATGCCTGATACAACTGACTTATGGATTGTAATAAGAGTTGTGGGGGAGTGCAGAGTGGGGACCCAGGGCCCATCCGAGGGAAATTGGACATCCCCTTGCAGAAGGGCTGCGGGGAGGTGAGGAGCAAATCGGAGTGCAGTGTAGTAACGATGAAATATGCAATTTTCCTCTGATTCTTAAATGCTTCTTCCACCCCACTACCATGATCCCAACTCTACCTTACAAATCCGGCTGGACCAGAGGAGGTACACTGGTGCAGATGGGAACTGGAAATACAGTGAACCCGGGACAGATGAACCCCGCAGGACCAGTGGAGAGAGTGGCAATGGCGGGAGGGTGGAGGGAAGGAGAGGGAGAAAGGGGGAACAGAGGACAAGGTCTACATGTAGCCTCCTCCCTGGGGGACGGACAGCGAAGTGGGTGAGGGAGGCGTGGGATGGGGTAAGAAATGATAAAATAATAATAAATTATAAATTATCGGGGGTTCGGGGGGAGGGGGAGAGAGGAGGAAAAATGAGCTGACACCAGGGGCTCAAGTGGAAAGTGGGTGTCGTAAGAATGAAGTCAACATATGTACTAAATTGCTAGACACAGATGACGTATGTACAGATTGTGATGAGTTGTATGAGTCCCTAATAAAATGATTATTTAAATTAAAAAAAAAAAGTTGTAAGAGCCCCCAATAAAATCATCTTTTAATAAACAAAAACCAAAACCCAGGAGGGAAAAACAAAAACTCCAAGACTCTGTATTGGCTTTAAAATTCCAATCAACTTTATCATCATTATCCTAGTTTTATGAATTCCTAGCAGTAAACACCACTCCTAACTTTACTGTACAACTTCAGAAAGAGAATACTGTAATGTAAATACCATGACCATCCAGAAATTTTCTTCTGGTTCATTGAAGAACTGTCGATTCTTCTGTGTATGTAACGATTTTGCCGGCTTTGAAGGGCTAAAGGTCCTAAAACAGAGGTTAAAGAGCATGTGTGTGGGAGATGCTCCAGGATACACTTGAAGAAGTCTCACTGCCCTTAAAGCGCCTTTGAAGGCCTTACCTTGTAAATTGCACAATAGCTTCGCACAAGCCCACGTTTCTGATTTTTTCATTCTTTTCAACTTCGTTGGGATGATAAAACAAAATTTTGTTTTCTTCCTACAGCGCCAAGAAACAGAAAAACACATTCATTTCAGCAGCTGACAGACTGTACACACAAAATTAAACGCCAACCTCTCCCATCAGAGATGCTTCAAACAACAAGAGGCAAGGCAGACCCGCTTTTTAAAAGGCAAGAATGCTCTGTATCGAATTGTGTGCATATTGTCCGCCAGCGTGCAGATTCCTGTGACATTGTTTTTTAAGTTTCACTTCAGTAGAGTAGCATTAGCCAAATTGTTCTGCAAATGCAATCTTTGGCTTTCTTCCCTGCGGAGGGGTGTGTGTGTGGTGGTGGTGTGTGTGTGTAATCTGCCCACGTCCTTAAAAACACGTCGAGTTGGCACACGTGTCCAGCCCTGATAGTCCTCCCAAATTAAACCCCACAGACAACCTTCCAAAAGACCGTGATTTGCAGCTACTAAAACAGCTCCGGGCACCCGTGGGGTCACGGTCCCCGCCTCAGCGGTAAAACAAAACATAAACCTGCATCGCCTGACATTTGTTTGCTTCTTAGTTTGGGGACGGGGCAGGGGGAGCGGGAGTTCACGAGGGTCCTCCAAGCTTTGAAGCTACGGCACATCACTCGGGCACCGCGCTTCTTTCTCGTCGGGGACTTCCACCCAGTAGCCCAGGCCACGCGCGGCGTGAAGGGCCGGCACCTGGGCCAGGTGAACGCGCCTCGCCGGCCGGCATCAACACTGTCCCACGCCCGGCGCCTTCGGGAAGCCGCGAGTCCCCGCCCCGGCGCCCGGCGGCGT